GTGGTCTTCAGATTAGCACAATAACAGTGTGTAGAGAGCTCCATGGAATGGGTTTCCATGGCCGAGCAGCTGCATCCAAGCCTTACATCACCAAGTGCAATGCAAAGCATCAGATGCCATGGTGTAAAGCACACCGCCACTGGACTCTAGAGCAGTGGAGACGTGTCCTCTGGAGTGACCAATCACGCTTCCCCATCTGGCAATCCGATGGACGTGTCTGGGTTTGGCGGTGGCCAGGAGAACGGTACTTGCCTGACTGCATTGTGCCAAGTGTAAAGTTTGGTGGAGGGGGGGATTATGGTGTGGGGTTGTTTTTCAGGGGTTGGGTTTGGCCCCCTAGTTCCAGTGAAGGGAACTCTTAAGGCGTCAGCATACCAAGACATTTTGGACAATTTCATGCTCCCAACTTTGTGGGAAGATTTTGGGGATGGCCCCTTCCTGTTCCAACATGACTGCACTCCAGTGCACAAAGCAAGGTCCATAAAGACATGGATGAGTGAGTTTGGGGTGGAGGAACTTGACTGGCCTGCACAGAGTCCTGACCTCAACCCCATAGAACACCTTTGAGATGAATTTCTATGTGCTTCTGGAAGAATAGTCAAACATTCCCAGAAGAGTTGAAGCTGTTATAGCTGCAAAGGGTGGGGCCAACTCAACATTGAACCCTACGGACTGAGACTGGGAGGCCATTACAGTTCATGTGCGTGGAAAGGCAGAAGGCCCAATACTTTTGGCAATATAGTGTATATAGAACACAGATCTCCCCCGTAGGATGTATATACACCTCTATAGGACGCAGATCTCCTCCGTAGGATGTATATACACCTCTATAGGACGCAGATCTCCCCCGTAGGATGTATATACACCTCTATAGGACACAGATCTCCCCTGTAGGATGTATATACCCCTCTATAGGACACAGATTTCCCCCGTAGGATGTATATACACCTCTATAGGACGCAGATCTCCCCCATAGGACATATATACACCCCTCTATAGGACGCAGATCTCCCCCATAGAACATATATACACCCCTCTATAGGACGCAGATCTCCCCCGTAGGACATATATACACCCCTCTATAGGACGCAGATCTCCCCGTAGGATGTATATACACCTCTATAGGACGCAGATTTCCCCCGTAGGATGTATATACCCCTCTATAGGACACAGATTTCCCCCGTAGGATGTATATACACCTCTATAGGATTCAGATCTCCCCTGTAGGACGTATATACACCTCTATGGGACGCAGATCTCCTCTGTAGGATGTATATACCCCTCTATAGGACTCAGATCTCCTCCGTAGGATGTATATACACCTCTATAGGACGCAGAACTCCCCTGCAGGATGTATATACACCTCTATAGGACGCAGAACTCCCCTGCAGGATGTATATACACACCTCTATAGGACTCAGAACTCCCCTGCAGGATGTATATACACCTCTATAGGACTCAGAACTCCCCTGCAGGATGTATATACACCTCTATAGGACTCAGATCTAATCCGTAGGATGTATATACACCTCTATAGGACGTAGATCTCCCCTGTAGGATGTATATACACCTCTATAGGACGTAGATCTCCCCTGTAGGACGTATATACACCTCTATAGGACTCAGATCTCCCCTGCAGAATGTATATACACCTCTATAGGACTCAGATCTCCCCTGCAGGATGTATATACACCTCTATGGGACGCAGATCTCCTCCGTAGGATGTATATACACCTCTATAGGACTCAGATCTCCCCTGCAGGATGTATATACACCTCTATAGGACGTAGATCTCCTCTGCAGGATGTATATACACCTCTATAGGACTCAGATCTCCCCTGCAGCATGTATATACACCTCTATAGGACTCAGATCTCCCCTGCAGGATGTATATACACCTCTATGGGACGCAGATCTCCCCTGCAGGATGTATATACACCTCTATGGGACGCAGATCTCCCCCGTAGGATGTATATACACCTCTATGGGACGCAGATCTCCCCCGTAGGATGTATATACACCTCTATAGGACGCAGATCTCCCCCGTAGGATGTATATACACCTCTATAGGACTCAGATCTCCCCCGTAGGATGTATATACACCTCTATAGGACACAGATCTCCCCCGTAGGACGTATATACACCTCTAAAGCACTCAGTGACATTTCCACGCCTCCCTCAATCAAATCCCGCCCACACCAGTCTCAGTCCTCCAATCCTCACTCGCCCTTGGGCCACTGTGTTTCCGCCCACCCGATGACTGACACCGCATCCAGCCAATGAGAGAAGAAAGATCGAGGCGCTGGGGCGGAGCCGGCCGGAACAACACAGGCACGCGCCTCACTACCGGCGCGCCCCCGTCACCAAAGTGAGAGCGGTGCCCCCCGGTCGCTCACCTGCTCGAAGCGAGGTCTCCCCAGCACGAACGGAGGCTCGTCCGCCATGTCCCTGCCCGTCCTCGCAGCGGGGGGTGCCGGGAGCTGTAGTCCTGGCGGGGAGGCGCCTCCTGCACTCATCCCCCGGCTGCCGATGCCGCCGCCGCTGCTGATACTGCCAAGGGGACAAGCCCCGCCCCCACCTCTGCTGCTGTATGACAGGTTCCTCCCTCTGCCACTACAGCCCGCTGCTAGGTGACTGACCACGCCCTCCTCCTCACACTGCGCCGCCGCGCTGTGTTTCTGTACACGCCCCTTAATGGTATAGATGTTCACCTGGTCACGCCCCAATTCGCCTCTGCTTTAGTATGAATGGCTCGCTGGCGGCAAGTTACCGCCCCTCACGTCCCTGGGTACGCGGAGAATGCTGGGAGTTCGCTGTGAGGCTGTGCCTGGTGTCTCCTCACATCCGGGGCACTGCGCTCCTGCTGTTGCCAATAGCAACCACTCAGATTTTTTTAATTAAAGTGGACCTGTCATTTCTTAAATATTTTTCTGCTTTCTCAAATCCATGATGAAATCAGCTTTATTTTGCAGGAAAATGACTTGAAACCCCCAAAATTCACTTTTTTTGTTTTGAAAGAGGAGGTCCTGGAGAAGAAAATGGTGGCTGCCGCAATTTGTTAATTTTTATGTTGCACGATATTTGCTCAGACGTTTATCAAGGTCAAATATTCAAGATCAGATTCAGTGTTAACTCCTCGCCCTCCAGAGGATTCCCCCCTCCTTCCTGACCAGGCCATTTTTTGTGTACGGCGCTGCGTCACTTTAACTGACAATTGCACGGTCATGCAACGCTGCACCCAAATTACATGTACAGACTTTTTTCCCCACAAAGAGCTTTTGTTCTGTGATATTTGATCGCCTCTACATTTTTTAATTTTTTGCGCTATAAAGAAAAAAGACCATCAATTTTGAGGAAAAAAAACAATATTTTGGACTTTTTGCTATTAACCACCTCCCATCCGGCTGTTGTATATAAACCGCCGGAAGGTGGCAGTGCAGGGTCAGGTGGCCGTTTATAAATGACCTCCGCACCCCTGGGAGCACGCAGCACCAAGATCCGATGCCCGCTGTGTCCTCCGGACACAGTGGAACACCAATCATCTTACGGGACCTCTGTGCGAGATCCCGATCATGTGATCACTAATTGGCCAATCAGTGATCACATGCAGAGCAGTAAGCAAGATGTCACTTGTGACATCATTGCTTACTACGTGTGAAATATGTGAATGATCACAGAGATCACATGGTACAGGGCTATTCACAACAGCCTTGTACCATATGACAAGCTGTGACCAATCACAGCTCACACAGTAGTTCTCAATGGCTGCAAGAATGCAGCCAGAGAGAAGGAGAAATGATTGCTTTTAAAGCCTTTATGGGTGTAAAAGCAATCAGTATAAAATAAAAAAAAATCTTCATCACCCCCCACAAGTAGTAGTGTCACCATGGTGACCCTGTACTGCTAGGGTGACAATATGTTAAAAAAAAAAAAAACAATATAAAAAAAATGTAAAACAAACTGTTTAAAAATTATGATTTTTGGTTATAAACTAATTAGTTTTTTTTTCTACTAAAAAGATAACAAAATAAATTTTGGCCAAGATTTATGATGAAATATTTATTTGCAAAATTTTATAAGAAAAACACTTTATTTCCAAATTTTTGGACTTTTTCATTTACATAGCAAAAAAATAAAATTCCCAGCGGTGAATAAATACCACCAAAAAAAGCTTTATCTGTCTCAAAAAAATGCTAAAAAATTCATAAAGTGTTGCATGACCGCGCAATTGTCATTCAAAGTGTGATAGCGCTGAAAGCTGAAAATTGTCCTAGACTGGAAGGGGGTGAAAGTGTCTGGACTGGAAGTGGTTAACCATTTGCCGCCCGCCCTATGGCCGAATGGCAGGCGGCAAATGTAATCAGCGATCCGGGTGGACGCTATATGGCATCCTACCGCACATGCGCAGATTTCTCTCCTGCAGAGAGGCGCAGCGGCGCGATGACAGATCTGAGTATTGGCCCGTTGCCAGTACCATGTGACCTGCTGTGACCAATCACAGCAGGTCACATGACAGTTGTATACAATGGATGGCTTCTTTCATGCCATCCATTGTATACTAGTTTTCTAGCTGTGAATGGTCACAGCTAATCACATGCACATGTCATGTGATTAGCTGTGGCCAAATCACAGCTAAGCACAAAAAAAAAACAAACCCTGAATGAATCGATGTCATTCAGGTAAATGCTTGCTTATAGCTATAAGCAAATTTTGTAAAAAAAAAAAAAAAAAATACTGATCACTTCCCCAACGTATACAATGTTACTATGGTAACATTGTACTACTTTGGTCATAGTGAAATATGGAAAAAAAAAATCTTAAAAAAAAGAAAAAAAATTAATAAAATTTTTTTTTTATTTTTTTTCCCATACTGTCACCAGTCAGTGTCCCTGATCACCGCCATGCCAGTTATATGATGACGCTGTACTGCACTGGTGACAGTATGTAAAAAAAAAAATAGTGAAACAAATTTTTTTAATTGTTTCATTTTCCAAAAAATTATGACAAAAAAAATACAACTTAAAAAAACTCGCCATTCCTCTTATGAAGTACGTCGGACTGTCTACTCTGCAAAAAGGGGTCACTTGGGGGATATCTGTACTATTCTGGCATTTGGGGGATATCTGTACTGTTCTGACATTTGGGGGATATCTGTACTGTCCTGACATTTGGGGGATATCTGTACTGTCCTGACATTCGGGGGGATATCTGTACTGTTCTGACATTTGGGGGATATCTGTACTGTCCTGACATTTGGGGGATATCTGTACTGTCCTGACATTTGGGGGATATCTGTACCGTCCTGACATTTGGGGGATATCTGTACTGTTCTGACATTTGGGGGATATCTGTACCGTCCTGACATTTGGGGGATATCTGTACTGTTCTGACATTTGGGGGATATCTGTACTATTCTGACATTCTTGGAGTTCAAGAAATTAGATTGTCTGTCAGTACTTCAGATTGATCAATATTCAGATCTATCCCATAGTTTGTGAACTCTATAACTTTCCTACAGACTAAATAATACATCCTAATTTGGGTTATTTTCACCAAAGACATGTAGCAGAATACATCTCGGCCTAAATTTATGAAGAACAATTATTTATTTGCAAACTTTTATAACAGAAACAAAGAAAAACGTGTGTTTTTTTCAAAATTTTTGGTCTTTTTTTGTTAATTTAGCAAAAAATAAAAACCCCAGCGATGATTAAATACCACCAAAAGAAAGCTCTAGTTGTGTGAAGAAAATGATAAAATTTTAGTTTGGGTACAATGTTGTATGACCGCGCAATTGTCATTCAAAGTGTGAGAGCGCTGAAACCTGAAAACTGGCCTGGGCAGGAAGGGGGTAAATTGCCTGGTATTGAATTGGTTAAACATGTCCAGTAAAAAAATTTAAAAATCAAATTTCCTCAAAAATTTCTGCCAAAATGTATTCTGCTCCATGTCTTTGCTAAAAAAAAATCCCAATACGTGTAAATTAATTGGTTTACGTGAACGTTATAGTGTCTATTAATGGCGGTATAGATACTGTGATTAATTTATTTTTTTCACACTAGTAATGGCGGCGATCAGCGACTTATAGCGGAACTGCGGAGGGCATTCTGACACTGACTGCCATTGACATCCCCAGTGACACCAATACAGTAATCAGTGCTAATAAAAAGCACTGACACTGTACTAATGGCTCTGGGCAGGAAGGGGTTAACTGCTTCCCCATCTAATGTACGTATATAAACGTCCTGGATGAGAAGTGGTCACACCAGGATCATGGTTGCATCAGTGACATTTTTTTTCAGTTGGCACTCCGCTTTTAGATAAAAGTGATTCAAGCGGTAGACATGCGCAGAACGCAAAAATTAGTTTCGTTTCAATTTGTTATTTAAATAATTTGATCTAGTTATATTTGTTAAATTTGTATTCAGGATTCATTTAGTTTATTTGAATTTTCTGGATTTTGGTCGAATTGAATTCAATTCGACCAAATTCAGAAAATGCGTATCGGCATTCGAAAGACGGTTATATTCTATTGTTTTTGTTTTTTTTTATCCTATGCTATTCTATTCTAATTCAAATTTATTCTATTCAAATTTCAGAAAAAACGGTTATATTTTATTTTATTCTATACCATTCTATTGTTTATGCTATTCTTTTCTATTATATTCTTCTATTTTGTTCTAATCTTTTCTATTCTATTCTTTTAACTTCTATTCTGTTCAGGGGCGGACTGACAACTCATGGGGCCCCCGGGCAATAGGGGATCATGGGGCCCCTGTGTCCTTGCCCACACTCAAAAAAGCCTATAAAAAAGGTACCAGGGGCATCTCATGGGGCCCCCCTACTGACCCCGGGCCCTCGGGCAGTGTCTGAGTGCTCGAATGGTCAGTCCGCCCCTGATTCTGTTCTTTTCTGCTGTATTCTTTTCTATTCTATTCTTTTATCTTCTATTCTGTTATGTTTTGCGCTATTCTTTTCTATTTTATTCTATTATTTTATTTTCTATTCTTTGTTATCTATTCTTTTCTTTCTTAGATTGTAAGCTCCCAGGATCAGGCCCTCCTAACCCTCTTGTATTGAACTGTATTGTTGCTGTATTGTCTCCCATTATATTGTAAAGTGCTGAGCAAACTGTTGGCACCGTATAAATCCTGTATAATAATAATATTCTGTTCTTTTCTATTTTGTTCTTTTCTATTCTGTTTTTTCGTTCTATTCTTTTCTATTTCACTCTATTATTTTCTATTTTATTCTATTATTTAAAATAGAAAATAAAATTAATAGAATTATTTTCTTTTCTATTTGATTCTATTTTTTAATTTTTAATTCTAGTTTTCTCTCTTAAATTTACTTTCTATTCTTGTTTTTGAACTTGTTTTCGAATCAGATTAGAATTCGGACGTAAATTCGTTTTGTTATTTCGGATTAGTTTAATTTCCTTCCTATTGTCATTCGGATACATCCAAATCTCTGAATAACGAAAAACTTGTCCGAATTTTGATTGGGAATGAAATGAAATCGCACATGCCTACCCAGCGGCTCTACAGCCACCTGCTCACTTTTACATGGCTCAGTAGCAGACCCTCCTCTTCCTTCCATCGCTGCTTCCGGGCGGGACCGCTGTAAATGATCAGGATGCTTCCCACACAGGAGATTGTTATATTATTATTATACAGGATTTATATGGCGCCAACAGTTTGCTCAGCGCTTTACAATATAACGGGAGACAATACAGCAACAATACAGTTCAATACAAGAGGGATAGGAGGGCCCTGATCCTGGGAGCTTACAATCTAAGAGGGAGGGGCTAGTGGTACAAAAGGTAATAACTGTGGGGGATGAGGTGGTAGGAGAAATCATAGCAGAGCACAGGGGTGGACTGACCATTTGGAAACTCGGGCACTGCCTGAGGGCCTGGGGTCAGTAGGGGGCCCCATGAGAAGCCCCTGGTACCTTTCTCATAGGCTTTTTTGAGTTTGGGCAAAGGACACAGGGGCCCCATGATCCCCTATTGCCCAGGGGCCCCATGAGTTGTCAGTCCACCCCTGGCAATGCAATACAAAGCAGCATGCATACAGTGAAACACACACAGCACACAGTTAACCCTTTGATTGCCCCAGATATTAAAGCAAACCAGTCACTTGTAAAAATAAACCAGAGCCGCCCTGTATGAGATTTTGGGGTCAATTCACAAAAGGATATTGCATGGGATATTTGGGACATGTGACATTTTTTTCCAACTATGTCATGCAATATGAAAAAAAACAATTCGCTGCAGGTTTGGTATTTACCACAAAAACGTTCGTTAAATACTGCATAAACCTGTCTAAAATTCAATTCACAAATAAAAAAAAGGAAGCAAAAACAATTTTTAACCACAATTGTTTACCCCCCTTCCTGACCAGGCAGTTTTTTGCGATACGGCGTTGCGTTACTTTAACTGACAATTGCGCGGTCATGCTACGCTGGAGCCAAATTAAATTTGCGTCCTCCTTTTCCCCACAAATGGAGCTTTCTTTCAGTGGTATTTGATCATCTCTGCGTTTTTTATTTTTTGCACACCCCCCCCTACCAGGAAATGCAAATCACGTATATATACATGAGTTTGCGCAGCCCTGCAGCAGTACTATAGGGCGGCGAGCAAGTGGAGTCGTTGTCAAGCCAAGCGGTATCTAACACATACTAACTGGTTGCTAAAGAGGCGGCACCCGCCGTGTCCTTAACCACTTCCCGACCGGCCGGACGGTGGCACTGCAGGGTTGGGTAGCCGTTTATAAATGGCCAACCCGCACCCTGCTTGTGTGCGCTCCCTGGGAGCGCGCAGCACCGCGATCCGGTGCCGCTGTATCCTCCGGATCGTCGGACGGGACCTCTGTACGAGGTCCCGATCATGTGATCACTGATTGGCCAATCAGTGATCACATGCAAAGTAGTAAGCAAGATGTCACTTGTGACATCATTGCTTACTACGTGTGAAATCTGTGAATGATCACAGAGGTCACATGGTACAGGGCTATTCACAACAGCCTTGTACCATGTGACAAGCTATGACCAATCACAGCTCACTCGGTACTTCTCAATGAGTGCAAGAATGCAGACAGAGAGAAAGAGAAATGATTGCTTTTACATCCTATATGGGTGTAAAAGCAATCCGTGTAAAGAAAAAAAAAAAATCTTCATCACCCCCCACAAGTAGTAGTGTTACCATGGTGACACGGTACTGCTAGGGTGCCAGTATGTAAAAAGAAAAAAATAATAATATAAAAAAATAAAATAAAAATGTAAAAAAAAAATGTTTAAAAATTATAATTTTTGGTTATAAACTAATTTGGATTTTTTTTTTTACTAAAAAGAAAACGGAATAAATTTTGGCCAAGATTTATGATGAAATATTATTTATTTGCAAAATTTTATAAAAAAAAAACTTTTTTTCAAAATTTTTGGACTTTTTCAGTTACATAGCAAAAAAAAAAATAAAAATCCCAGCGGTGAATAAATACCACCAAAATAAAGCTTTATCCGTCTCAAAAAAAATGGTAAAAAATTCATTTGGATACAGTGTTGCATGACTGCGCAATTGTCATTCAAAGTGTGATAGTGCTGAAAGCTGAAAATTGCCCTGGACAGGAAGGGGGTAAAAGTGTCCGGTCTGGAAGTGGTTAACAACCAGGGAACAGCTTGTTGTTTAGGAGCCGGACACCTGGTGCGTCCTGAACCACTTCTCGCCCGGCTTATTGTAAAATGTGGGACTTGTGTCATTCCGGGTGGACAATCCTATTACTTTTCTCTCTCTCTCTCTCTCTCTCTCTCTCTCTCTCTCTCTCTCTCTCTCTCTCTCTCTCTCTCTCTCTCTCTCTCTCTCTCTCTCTCTCTCTCTCTCTTGGGATCGAATACATTGTAAATTATTATTGCTATACAGGTGTACCTCGGTTTACGAACACCTCAGTTAACGTAATAATTTCGGTTTACGAATGAAAATCCATTGAAAATAATGCCTCGGTTTACAAATTCTTTTACAAATTTTCTTCACAATACGAAGTGTATGTTGGTGCCGATTTTTAAATGCAATTGCCGGCTTTTTCTTTTCTTCACTATAGCTCACAGAATTAGCTGTCACTTTCCCTGGAGCTAAAGGATACTTTGTTTCTTTTAACTCAGGGAAAGGAAACTTTCTTTTAGCTGCGGGGAAAGTGACAGCTGATTCTCTGAGCTATAGTGAAGGAAAAAAAAAAGCGGTAATTTCATTTAAAAACCGGCACCGACCTATAGTGACAGCGACTTTTTTTTAAATCTTTTTCTGACCTCTGGAATGGAATAATTGGTTTTCAATGCATTCCTATGGGAA